GGCATTTTTCTATATAAAATGTCTTTTGAGCACAGTCTCTTTTTTGCTGTTTACATTATATCAATTCAAACAAATTATGAATCATATTTAAATGATTTATAACTATGCCGGTAACTCGGTCAACATGTCTTAAATGGGATGTGTATTATTTATTTTTAAAAACACACAGCAATAGAGTTAGTTGTTAAATTATCTGCAAACAGTGAGTCATTCTAATATATAAGTATCTTCGTTTTCTATGTCTGACCACACTGGTGTATTATGTTTCATGTGATAGATAGCGAAAGAACAGTCGCTAAAAAATAGGCATGCAGGCTGAAATAAGGTTGGTGCAAATCTCACTGTTACCTTTGAATGACTTTTAACCCAGGACGAATTAGTAATGTATATCTGCAAATATTTCTTTAAATAAACCTTCATATTATCTACTCTTAGTATGAAGGTTACTAATCTGCTTGAGTAAACAACAAATTCTTGGCTTACTATCTCTGACATGTTGCTAAGCTCTTTTGGTTTCTCGGAGTTCTTATGTAGGCGAAGTTCAACAATAGCGTCCCAGGAGTGCGAACGCTTCAGTGATCTTGAACGCATGCTAGCCGTTGGCTAACGGCACCTCTTATTATCATAGCTGAAAATTCAGCGCTACTCATCAAATAAGGAACAAGTTTCACCCAGATAACATTTTTAATTACTGTTTGGACAATGTGTTAATATCTCGTTAAGGTTAGGATAAGAGTTAAGTATTGGGGTTAGGGTTAGGGTTACGATCATAATTGGGATTATGGTTAGGTTTACGGCAGGATAAGGATTGTTATTAGGGTTAGGATTAAGGCTAGGGTTAGTGTTCATTTTTGGGTTAATGTCAGGATTAAGGTTAAGGTTGAGATTAAGGATTGATTTTAGTTAATGTCGTCTATTTTAATTTGATTTATCTTCATTTCCCTTGTATGTAGTCGTCGATCCTCTTACTGAAACCACAGTAATTTAACCGAGGGCTTCGGAGAGGACTGCACAGCAAGAGAAGAGAGATGAACGATTCACAAAACAGCACAGCTTCAGTCACTTCAGTGAATACGTCTACAGAAACTAGTCCAACTTAGCAACTGATACTCTTCATCATAACATGGAAGTATTTTTAAGTCATGTCAGAGAAAGATAATCTTTTTAATATGTTTTCATGCATTTTCTTGTGAATATACGTCATTTTTGTGCAAAAATTCCTCATTTTTATGATTGGTTGGCTGAAGGTCACTCGTGCGTTCGCATTCCTTGGGACGCTATTGTAGAACTTTGGCCTTGTGTATTCGAACAACCTAACTATTGTAGAATATGAGTGTAATCTCTTCAGAGTAAAGATACCTTCAATGACTGACACAATACCCTAAGCAACACTACAAAATAGATGAAAGGAAGTTATTCCACTACGCCCTCTACTCTGTATTATCATTTAGCAATTAAAGCGGTAATACTATCATTATGCAACCACTAGCTTTATTTTAAAGTTGCACAAATAGTTTCGAACAGGCCCCTATTGATTATGAAGTCAAAAGACATTAAATAAGAAATATAATCCTGCATTATATTTGGTAGAAAAAAAATGTAATTTACAATCGCCAGAATGTAGCAACGATCATTCTGAAATTTGTGCTTTTTGGTAGTAATAATTTTAATAACGCGTCTTTCACAGTGAGTACATTTTTTGCACATTCAGTTGTGATTAAAAAAGTGAGCATATCGTCAAAACAAGCGGTTGACAAGTACTTCAGGCTGTATAAAAATTAGAATTGCAGTTCTAAGATCGAAAAATTCGCTGAATATCGGAACTGTGAAATCTGACATTAAAAGTGTACAGAACGTAACTGCTGAATTCAGCCATTAACAGAAAAAGTCAGTCACAACAGTTGTAACAGGTAAATAAACTAAGCATGATCGATAGTTAAGCAAAGAAGCCTTATACAAACAAGGTCGTTGGAATGAGTATCAATAAGGAAGACGCTAGGAATATTTGTTAGAAAACGTTTACCTCCACTCTTTCCCAATACGTACTAAAGATACTGAATATAAAGTTGTGAAGTGTTGTGTGAGAATAATGGGTTTGAAATATAAACACAACAATTTTCCTTTTATTCCTTATTTTCACTTTAATTATCCCAAAATTTTCTCAAAGAACTGCGAGATGAGCTTGTTTTATGTTCAGTGTATGACCAAGAAAATGTTACGCAGCATCGTGGATACTGAATATGACTTTTTTAAGCAATGTTTATGTCAAGACGAATTCTATACTTGAGATTTTGTCAGAAAAATTTCATGCTGACTAGTTAATTTAAGATTATGTATCTAAATCATTGATCTTTCTTTGCAAAGTAGTATACCTTTGAATTTCTAATTCATTTTTCGCTAGCACATAAAATCGAATAAATGTTATATAGTTAATTCAGAATGAATATGAACTTCTTCATGGACAGAAGTGTCTTGTAGAACCTAAATAGGGGTTGCCTGACTTGCAAATATCGTTTTTGAACAATCTGCATATCCCAGTCTATCGTCATAGGCTTCTTATCATATCTTCACTGACAGTATACCTTGTGGTTTAATCCTCTTCAACGTAAACTCCGGCTGTCTAATTCTGACTCAGTGCTTAATAGCTTAAAAGAAAGGTACCTGTTAATATTTTGTAGGTTTGCATTCGTATTTCAGTCAGTCAGTTCTAAGTTTGGCACTATTCCATAATTTGAGTGTGTAATCCAAAATTGTAATAGAAGTCAAAATGAGGTATAGTAAACAGGATCAACAATGATAAAAGAAATAAGGAAGGCAATATTTGTGTATAGGTTTAAAGTATAACAGCTAGAAATACTACTACAACGCTATTTTATGCGATAAAACGTTGGCCAATACTCATCACAATAATAGTTTAATGGATTTCCAATCTTTTTTCACTTGTCTTTTGGAGTTTAGGATTTGTTAGACCTTTTATACACTTTTGCCTTCTCAAAGGTAACATGATCATAACCTCAAGTGATTGTTTTCAGTATGACAGACTGTGCAATGATATGATGTATTACATTAAAAGATATGGCAGTGGAATTAAATATGATAGACGAGCATATGTCAGTGACTTCTCCAGTAACTGAAATTTGCAGGGGATTGTGCATTGCCGATTCGGTTGGAAAATGTCATCTAACTTACTAACTCAATCTTACTTTAGTTGCTGTCCAATTAACCTTGTTTCTATATTAGATCATTCTTTTATTACCTGATCAATTATCTAATTTTGACAAACCTCACGTACACACACACACACAAATAATTATATATAAATGCTATGTGAATGAATTCGCCGAAAAGAGTCTCTTCGCTGAACGTCTTCCTTTTTTCATATGACAAAATGTTTTTCAACAAAAAGTCTGTAGCCTTATTGAGTTGCACTAGCAGAAAAGTATTAAAGCCTACCTAGGCTTTTAAAATATCATTTCATGCATGCTGAATGTTCGGGAAACAATTTGAACACATTGCTTCAGTTATCTTGATCATTTGGTATTTAAAATTAAAATGTATATTTCTAAACTGTTTAGCTGTAATTGCATAAATTAATTGAAGCTTTTTATATAACTAAGAAATTTTGTCATATCATCTCTCCTCTTTTATTAATAAAGCCTTCGTCGTTATGGATATCATTTGTCCAAGATACATACAATGAATCTTTCCAACTCTGAGTTTTTCATACAGAATAGTTATCTTTGAAGAACTTTCAAAGATTTAACTTTTATATCTTGCATAGAAATAAATCAGCTGCATTACAGTATAGCAGAAAGTTAAGGAAGGAGGTTTTTCTCTTTATCATATACTGCAGTCAGTCTGACTAATCGAAATCCTCCATAAAGGCAAACTATACTTAAAGTGCACTCGACAAAATTACTATTGCTGTGTCGGTGATCCATTTACTGATTAGTTAATAAAACTGTATAATTCTATACGTCATAAATAAAACTCTACCCTGGAGTGGCCTACTTAAACTTTATTTGCAGAAATGTGCATTAAGTAATACTATTTTAAAAAAATAATTGGTTGTCAAATCTTTTTAACCGGTTGAAACTAAATTTAATTGAACTTTTTCTTTGAGAGGAAGACCAATATGGTATCTTCGCTAACCTAACGATAAATTTAAGATGCATTTATCGAACTGAATACTGTTTTGAATACTCAGTGACAAGATATGCAATGTATGTCAATATTTGAATGATAGGCTTCATCTTAAAAAAATATACAAGCTTGTAATTTATGCAGTTGATTTTTTTATACACTGACTACGGTCTGACACATAAGTTCAACTATGCGATAAATGAATTTAGGCTAAAGGAGGTTAGTTGGGACTGTAAAACTTTGATGATAAATGTATTTATCCTCAGTCATCTTGCAGATGTTACTTGTATTACTATTTTAATGATTCTGTCATTAAATGAAAGCTCTTAATTACTAAGGTCATTAAATAAGTGAAACTTATTTACGTAATTGTTCGTATCTGTTACTTGTTATGTATAACTCACTGACGGATTATTTTCTGATCAGCATTCATATCTCTACATCTACTACCACTTCTCATTGATGGAAAGGTAATGGTTGAATTACAGTCTGCACAGATGATAAACATTCTGATTGGTATTACCCAAAAGAAATAATCACTCTCAGGAACTAGAAAACAACTAGAGAAAATAACTGGATATCATTTTTCGATATAACCTGCCTAAATTACAGTTTGATATTATTTGTGATTGATATCTCAAAATAATTTCACTGACTACTGTAATTAACTACGGAGCATGTATAGGAATCTTTGAGCACTCCTTGTCTCATAATATCGGAACAATAATATCATAATAAAACTTCAGTAAATGTATATATATATATATGTATATATACAAATATTCTATAACTTTAACTACTAATTGAAATTTCTAGACTAATAAATTTTCATGCTTTTTTCACATTGCATCTCTTAGCTCCGTCTACCAACAGTGTCAAGAATACGTCCGCAATTTTACAGCTGTTACTAGCCAATCGTGACAGTATTGCGTAAGTTTATTTAACTTTATGTACATTATACTTGTATGTTGAGCTTAGTTTTGAATACATGATATCAAATAAATTTATACAAAATGGATAAAGTATTAACATAGATATTTGGTTTTTAAAACGTTGCCGTACTGAGTTCATAGAGTAATTAACGTAGAAACATACCATACTTTACTGAAATCGACAAACTGCTGCATAAAGATAATATTCAGACTCGTGTATATTTCATAGGGTTGTAGTGTACTGAATATTTTTAAATGGTGCTTTAAGGTTTTCCTCTTTTCGTTGAATAAACCCGCAGAATAAACAAGTTTCTATCTCTGTTCAAATGGATATGACAAAATATTATTTGTGAATGAAGCAGTAAGGCAATTAATATGTTGAAAACACGCTAATATGAACTTATACGCACGAAAGAAGTCGTCGCGTGATCTGTCATAAATTACATTTTATTAGGCTTAAACTACCGGTTTGGCCATGAAAAAATATAAAATTATAGCTAATCATTCTTCAGGTTCAGTATACCATTATTTAACAAAAATCCTTAGAAAGGTCAGTTAATACTTTATGTGAAAGTATAATGCATGCAGTCTTTCAGGTATGAGCACTTTATACCAAACAAGACAGATGTCATTAACTCATTTCACTTATATGATTCACCACTTTTCACTTTGTTTTTCAAGACATATGTCCTCCATGCTCCTCCATAACTCATTATTAACATTAGGCTCATCTTTTAATGAAAACTCGGTAACCTTTGTCCCCAAATAGGAATAAATAATTTATCTCCAAAGCTTTACAGCCAATGTCATGAAAAAGACTTCCAGCAGGTTGCAGAATTTCACCAGCCCTTACTTTCACTGGCTTGGTAATAAATATCATCATATATCCGACCAGAAGAGATAAACAATGAACACTTCTGGCAACGAATGAGCCAAGAACACATCTTCCAACAAATTTGAGGAAGGAAATCTAGATGGACTGGACACACGCCAACGAAACTATTCAGGGAAATCATACATGAGACCTTTGATTGGAACCCGCATGGAAAAAAATGAGAGTGACATAGAGAAGATGCTATGAGGAGAAAACTAGAACTTATGGTCATTCGTGGAATGAGGTAAAGAAGAATGCAGAAAATCGTTTCAAATGGGGATGTGGTCCCGAAACCTAAAGTTCCATTCGGAACCAAAATGAATAATAATAATCCGCAGGGCAATATACAGTACTAGTTTAATTAATCAGTTGTCATTCACTTATTTCAGATGTGAGCTTACGGTAAAAGTTGGCCATCAACAGGAATTAGATACGTTTAAATATGGTAACAGCAATCAACACACTGCTCTTAATACTACAGTAAACCGCTTGGGAAAATATTTCTAATCTGCACCATGCTAATTTTGTGAGAGCCTTATCATAGTCTAATTAATCTGCATTAGAAAACGTCCCGAAAACGTTTTTCTGTTCAATCTTTTCGCATCTGCTTACAAACGTCACTTAGATAATTCTAAATGCTTGTATGTCCATTTGCATCAAAATCTGTCTGTAAAGTAAAGCAACACTGATCAGACAAATTTTTACTTTAAAAGTGTTTCTGAAGAACAAGTCATACTTGAATCTGTTTGTTTCATTTGGGATTTGATGGCACTTGTTAAGCTTGACGAACACATAAAATAAGAGTCATACATCGCAGCTCACTAAGTTCTCAGCATAACTGTCACACGCTGTTTATCACACTAATATATTAATTATACATTAGAAACTCATTTTCCACGAGTAGCTCTTTCACCCATGGAAAATATTTTGCATGCATTTTCAAGTTGAATCTTTAAATGTGAATAGTCTAATGCTCCCCTTATTTATAGAAAATAGTATTGTCAAGTGTGCATCATAATAACAAGTTACATTTCGCTTCATTTTTCATTTACTCAGTCATCTGTATATATTATAGTTGTTTAGTCTACTATTTAAGCTTGTTATGCGAAAAACATGCGATTCGACAGCATTCGACCAAGTAATATTTTAGTGCACCAAATGAAAAGATGGAAAGTCAGCTGGATATAATGTAAAATGTCATGCCCGCTAATCACATTATCTCCACTATACGCAAAAATTAGCTACCTGTGATTGCAACACTACATCAAATTTATTACACTTGAGATTATTTTCTGTGAATACATTTATGGCATGACATTGTGCTTCATAATTTCAAAAAGTGAATATTTAGTTCTCACCAAATGTACCATGTTTCTCATGCCTGCCGAGAAGTTACAGTCTTTCAAGTTCACTGCTACTTAGTACAAGTTCACTTTTTTCTACCTTACGTTTATTTGTTTCTAAATCTGAGTCATGTAAGCAGTGCGAAAACTGTCAGGAACGAGATATTACATTGCTTTATTTAAATAATAAGTCAGATATTAACTATTCCCAATGAGTCCCCTGTTGAATATGGGGTTTGAGTGCCTTAGATTACCCTACGTGGATTTTTCCGGGCGGGAGCCATACGCGAAATATACCTAGTAATCTCTCCGCAGGCCTAAAACGATGTTCATGTTTGCTTCTGTTGCCATAGTAACTTTAAAATAATCAGTGTAACAAGATCTTGTAAGACCACTATTAGATTGCAAATTACTAATTATCAGTAAACACAGGGAATCCTATTTTAGCAGTGTGAAATTCTCCTAAGTGCAATCGTGGACCCAGCTGAAGAGGACGAAAGAAAGTAGAACAAAGTGGAGATGTGTTGCTGAAGCCCTATGTTCCACTCGGAACCCAAGGGAATAATAATAATTACCTATATTCTCTTTTTCCCATGTCACTTGAAAACTTATGAACTTTGGTTTTATCAAGAGAATATGTCCAAATAAAGAAGTCATTTTCAACAAGCAAAGATTAATCCAGACAATTTATTTTTTAGTAGACAGTAAATTAGTAATAGACGCATCAGTGATGACGAATTAAAGAACAACTTAGGCGAGGTCGCCGTATTAACCATAAGTGTTCAAATACAGCATAAGATTATTGCATACTATTTACTGCATGCTACGTATTTATTAAGCTTCAGAAACGCCTGGGTAGGTTTTGCAGAGACATGTAGTTTGATATTTATAGGTTTGACGATAGGGGAACTACAGTTTAATTCAGCTAACATCTGTGATTGGAATGAAATATTAATTTATGAACTGTGAAAACTACCATCAGGTTTTGTTTTGTTTTTTTGTAGATAGACGTTTTCAATAATAAAAAAAAATACTTAGCCAGATGACCAGAAACTTTGTAATTAATTTTGCCTTTTTGACAGTGATTTGGATACCACGAATTTACCTAGAATGATTGCACTCCAGAGAGGATCAAATGGTTTTGGATTTGTTGTACGTGGTAAAAGGGGTGAGCGAATTATAGAAAGCCTTTTTTATATACTGGCAAACGTTCTTTATTTTTTAATTCACGTCTGACTGTGATCATTTAATGTGGCTTATATTGTAATGAAATTTTGAGTTACAGCCAGATATTGAAAAGATTTCACAAATTTTGATGAGAGATATTACAGCTTTGAAAATGATTCATACTGGACTAACATGAAGATGTGCTGCAGACTGGTTGTTTGTTTGTACTTTTGCTGATGTATGTATAGAAAAGCAAGAAACTGTTTTGTAATACCCTACTGTCATTCAGCATTTGGAATCTGCATAATGGTGATGCCTAAGACTGCACTGTTTAACACCACTGGATATGCAGAAGCTATTAAGCACTAATGAATTCAGCATATATGCGATTCAGAATTCAGTATAAATGGAAACATGTAGGGAATTTCTAAAAGTTCAAATACTGGTAACCTCTAAACTATTTTAACCAACAGGAAAATAAACTGGCATATTCTGTATGCGTAAATGTATGCACACAGTTTAAAAATCCCCTTCAGACCTTATAAGCCTTTTCAACCGCTCATTTTGTGAAGACTTCAATGAAGATCATTAAAATAATTAGTAACTATATTTCCTACATACTTTGAAGAGCCTCCTATTTGTAGATGATATCATCAAGACTGCAGGTAAAATATTCTGCTTATTGATAATATCTATGCTGATTCACTGAACGCATACGTAGTCTGGAATATCTTATAATAATTGGAGGACTATGAATGGTACTATGCAGAATTTTTGGAACAGTGTTTGTCATAAGTTTGTCTAAAGGGAATATAATAAGTGTGTGGTGGTACTCTGACTGACTTCTTGGTGAACCACTGTATGGATCTTTTTCTCATGTACTCTAGAATCATGTATTTTACAACTGTTGGTTTGTCTTACTTCTCTGCCTTCTATGTTCTTTGTACAAAATAGCTTTATTATATGCGATCATATTTATCGTTTTGCCATCTTTACTTTGAGTGACTTTTCTCGTCTTTACTTCGAGAAATTAAAGTTACAATCACCCTTGCGACATCCAGCTGAGAATTGTTGCATTTGCTTTCATTTATAAGGGGAGAAAAAGAACACTGTTTATTCAGGATTAAAAATCCTTATTTATTTATTTAAAAATGCTATGACTAGTGTGGACCTAAAATATTGGTGAGTTAAGGAGAGGCGTTACCCAATGTTTCACAAAATGATATTTCCTATGAGTCATAAGTGGGCGTCGCCTTAGTCACACTGTTGGGCATACATGTAGACATACATACAAAATAAATCAATAACTGGATAATAAATAGTACAGATTAACGACATTTGGTCATCCACCTTATTAATTGTTTTATTTCGTTTAGGAAAGCTGTATGAAAATGTTGTCCATTGTTTGACTGCTGTAACATGAGCAGTGTTTTCCTAATGGTTGTTATACAGGTGGTAATATTGTAAACAGCAATCAAGAGAAAATTTTTTTTCTTTGCTCTAACCACATACAGCTGACATGTTGGATTCTCGTGCAAGACAGCATAATTCTTAGTTACTCATTCACTCAAACAGACTCATTTATTAAAAAATAAATCCTTCCAAGGTTACATAAGTCTTCTCCATAAGAAAGTAATCTTTCAAACGTTAAACTACTGATCAGATGTGCTTGTACCTGATGTTCTCTTCAAGGGCGAAAGACTGAAACAACAACTTAAGGTTAGAAAATTCTCAAAACTGAAGAAAAAACTGAGACTATATCAGCAGTCTCATCGCTCAGCTAATGAAGCATCTAGCTAGTGAAAACTAGAATCTTGTCAACACCCAGGATTTTATTTCCAAATAAGTGGATGAGATTTAATTTAATAAAGAGGTTACATACACCAATGGAGGCTCTGAACTTTATTCACGGCATAAATCTGTATGATCACTAGTGTTCAAAGCAAAATACTTACTTAGAAATTTTCATTTGTTGCGTTTATAGAGATAATATCATGTAAGATTCCTATCTGCAAGTTGATCATAATGACTGCAGATTTTTATGTGATGTAATTAATAAAACTATCACAAAACGTAGTCTGAAATCCCTATTTTTTATGTCTCCATATTTCTCGCTTGCTTCCCCTGGACTAGACTGAAATTACTCAGATGTTAGGTTTTTAGGGGTGTAAATAATTTTGATGCTGATTTCGTCTTGAACAGGCACCGTTTAGGGAGTCAATTTAAACTGGAATGCGATGGATAGGTATTTCATCTGCGAACGTGCGCACCCATGACCCAACCAAGGGGCAAAGACTGCAGGTTAGAAATTTGTCTTCCAACCCATCAGCGAACACAAATGGCTCTACATTACAGACTAACAATGTTTAGAATTTATGCACCACTGGATTTTAAACCACTTACCGAATGGTAGTTATGTTGCGTTGAGGAAATGAAGGCCTCGGTATTAATCCATTTGTGGGGTTTGGGGTTAAACAGTGCTGAGTAAAACGAAATAGCTATCTGCTTATATGTGATTATTACTTACTAGTTGATGATGGTAAAGAAAGCAAATATCTCAATTTCTAATTAAATGCGTTGTCAGTCACTTCATGACAAGGTGATATTTATTTTTAAAAGCTTTGGTGACAACAGTTTAGGAGGCGAAAGTGAGCTTGTACAGGATTTGGAACTTTGTAGAAATCAAATCAGCTACAGATTTTACTGTATGACTATTTTGCATTTTATGAATTACACGAGCTGTTCTTACGACATTGAAATATATTACACGCAACTTCTTTTTACAAACTGAATACAAAGAACCTTTGAATCGGTGACTTTGCCATCATAAGTCAATCAATTCTGCTCATGCAAAATTTCTGTCTACTTGTCTAACCTAGTTCAGGCATTTGGTAACAGCAAAAAATGCCATAAAAACTTTTGTAAAGAATATTCCTGTGCACTCAATTACTACCGGTGTTTTAATGATAGTTTGAAGAGTAACATACGTTTTTAATTTCCACAGGTATATCTGGAAACTTTGTACCAACTCTTGAGTGTCCTGCGTCGCAGTATTTGGAGAAAATTGAACCGCACAGTGCAGCAAGTAGAGCCGGATTAAAAGCGGGTGATTTCATATTAGAGGTAAGCTGAAATCCGTCATACTTTAAACAAACTCTCTTAAATAGTTCACTGTTTAATTCTGTTATGTGATTGAGGTTTTATTCGTTCAGATGTAGACTGGTGAATATTCGGTAACACTACAATTTCTGAAGTTTTCACAGGCGATGTTTTTTGGCAAGCTTACTTAAGTGTCTAATCACTCCTTGTTATCTAACAAAGCACGTATATATTATTGATATAAGGATAAAACTTGGTCACTGAGGTAGAGTATAATTCCGTTGTGGATAAAATTTTATTTTGATAAAATTTTATCCATAATGGAATTAAACATATATATTACACTAGATGCATTTATTTAAGCTTGTCTATCTGCAACTATATTTGATGTGCTTAAAATACTACGGGTATTATTATTTCATTTAATGCCTAGAGGAACATAGGGCTTCAGCCGCGCGTCTCCATTGCGTTCGGTTCTCTGCCTACGTTTTCACTCCGCTCCAAGTCTGCCCACAAGCTTTTATCTCCTCTTCATATGACCTACTCCAAGTCACCCTCGCACTGACGACCAACTCGCCGCCTCCCTTTCGGGTTCCACTTAAGCGATGGCTTGTCTGGTGATGTCACTTTTATTGGTTTCCTCAGAGTATGGCCAGCCAATCCAACTCCATTTCTTCCTGCCTATTTGTTTCACAATCGGTTCCTGCTGGGTTTGGTTCGCTCATTGCCAGAGATCCCTGTCGCTGATCCTTTCTGGCCGGCCATTTGATCTTGAGTGGTATTGAGCGAAGACAACTGTTAATGAAGGTCTGAAGTTTGTTTGAGATGCTCTTTACGATGCGCAGTGCAAGTCTCTGATCCATCCGTATAGTAGCACTGACTTCAAATTGGAGTTGAAAATTCGGATCTTATTTTTGATGCTGAGTGATGTTGACCTCCACACAGACTTAAGGGTAATGAAAGCTTGTCTTGCTTTTCCGATTCTGGCTTTGATATCCTCGTCAGTTCCATCTGCCTGTAGTTGAAACGATGCTTCCCAGATAGGTAGGTAAAAGAGGTTGTACGGGTATCACTCAAACTTTAAATCTACTAGGGGCAATTACGTTTACAGCATGTAATAGCCATATACAAATGTATGCTCTCTAACAGTAGAATACCACTGTTTATATGCAAACAGTGAACATGGTAATCTTATTATCTAAACTGTATGTAACATTTCTGTTATGATTATATATATATATGTTTATATATAAGTCGGTTCTATTTGTGTGCTGATACAGATAAAATATGAATTCTAGGACTGAACTACTCTCAAGAACCTGCTTTTTATTTGTGTAACTTCCCTGTTTATCAAGCTGCATTCTGTGGCAAAGAAAAAAGCTGAAGTATAAACAATATATTGCAGACAGTGAAAGTTGAACAGTATTATCATTTTAAATCTAAACTGTTAAACAGCATTGTAATGCACATACCAAATGCACATTTACCAGAATTTATTGACCAGAATTGACTGATAACAAAAGGATGAATGAAGGGAAGCACTTTTCTCTTCTAGTGATAAACTCATTCGTAATGTACACAAATCGCTTCATTTCAGAATGCAAGACTTGTTCATATCGTCTCAATTTCATCTGTGTCCTCAAGAGTACGTTATCTTGTTATGGTTAGTAAGTGTTGTTAGTTGGTGCTGACCAGTTAATCTTACAAATATCTAATTCAATCCATAGTGCGTAGAATCGAGAAATGGATAGGTAGTATATTTTGATTACATAGGGTATGAACATTTTGTCCAAGATTATAGTTTGTAAAAGATTACTACCTTTAAGGAGTCGTGGTATAACTTTAAGTTCAGTTGGAAACAAGCTGAAGCAGCGTTATGTGAATGCTTCAGCTTATTCTTATGTCAAATACCAATGGGAATAAGGAAGCTCATGAGGTTGTGTCATGGTTTCTAGCTGCTTGAATCACACGCTATTATTGACCATAGAACTGAAAACTAGGTTTGTTTATCACGAATATTTTCGATAGACAATATCATCTGAATGACTGACTTACACAGCAACCGATTTAAAATCACAGAAACAACAACAGTGACACTTTTCTAATTAACAATGTTTGCATCAAAATACAACTTGTATTTACTTCATAAGCAAAGACTACATACAGTACGCTAATTCATGGAAAAGACATTTCTGTTGATCGATAATGTACACTTTTCGGAGAAATTTTCGTCTACCAGCATGAAATCTCAGTTGTTTTAGTTTTCCAGATCTGTTAGAGTACCATGAAATTTCATTTGTGCATGTTTTGTTTCATTCGATCTTTCAATTTCATATCACTAAATATTCAAAGTTGCTTGAAGTATACTGTCTAGTACATAAATAAAGTAATTCTAGATCACCCCTAAGAAGATCACTGGCGGAAAGATATCCTCGGTTTTGGCAGCAGTATGACTACTAAATAATTCAAACTTTTAGATTTTTGCCTGAGATTATATCGAAACAAGGTATTTTTAGTTGGTTTGCCCACTGATTACTACATAAACAACTAGAAATTATTAGTCAAAATTTTGTGTGAAATAATAATTTTCTTGCTGAGAAGTGTATTCAGACCTGCTGAGAATGCATCAAAACAAGGCTTGTAAACAATGCGGAGTCTCGCCTTGTGAAAGCCAAAATGTTTCAACAATGATATCGATACCCATATATTAGAGTTTTCATATTTTGTCCCAAGAATTCACCAAGTCCTCCAAGTCAGGCACGAGGATAGTTAATCGCCTGTGACACTAGCTGGTGATTGCTTTAAATACATATCACGAATTAGCAGAAGTTTGAATTCATAGACCATTAGGTCAGATCCCAGTGGCTGAAATGTCTGTGACCTCGCCTCGTTACTGGAGGGTCATGGTAGCGAAGCCGAGTGGGCGCGTACTGATGAAGAGTCTCAAACTAGGACGAAACGACTGTTAACTGATGTCTACTCGTGATCAATCCTGTTACCTTATGCTGGTCAAATTTTGTATAACAGAAAAGAACTAGAAGATAAATGCACTGAAATGTCAATATAGATCACAAGAATACGGTTGACGTCCATTTTTTTCACTAGTTTAAATGAACGACATATAAACTCTAAGAATCATTTTGTATAAAAATCACTCAGCGTAGTGAATACATAGATTTGTAAACCTTTAAAAGATATCTAGAAAGTATCATTTTACGTTTGGTCATAACTGTCATGACTTTAAGCGTATCTGAAAGTAGTCAAATTGATCACTCAGCAAAAGAGCATAAAGAATACATGTGGTAGAAATTCAGGACAGCTATCTTGTTGATCTTTTAAGGTGCATTTACATCTAGTCCTTATCAGAGAACTAAAACCAGTAAACACATTTACAGACACAAACATATTCAGCAATATGGAAATGAATCAAATATTTTAATATATGTGTAAAACTTGGGCACTGTGGTAGTAAGTAATTCCATATTACTTTGTTTATTAGATGTATTTACTGGATGACGTTTTGAACTAACTTTATTGTTCATAATCATATCAATTGTGATCACACGACTTTGAAATTTTAGTTTTATAGTTTTCTTTGTCCTCTCCTATTTGTTGTTGGGATAGTAGGATTTTCCAGATATCTGGGACAGGTGTTGTATCATTCCTATTACATGTAATTGCAGTTGATTCGATAAATAAAGCTTCTGTTATCAATCTCTCCCTATATCCTGTGACATTAAATTTTAAAAACTGTCATCCTATCCCATCGTATTGTATGGTTATGTGTAACTGCATGTAGTGCTATAGCTGAACTATTCTCTAGATTTCTTATCTTATTTGGGTCAACCAATCTAGATTTTGCTAAGTTTTTATGTCCAGCTAGTCTGACTGTCCCTGTTCTAGTAGTTTGACCTATGTATTTAACCTCACAATCATTCCAGAAGGGTATTAGATAAACTAAATTGTTTTGTTTTAAAGGCTCCACAGAATCCTTTAACCGACAAAGCTTGTTTCTAGTTGAGTATATGAGTTTGAATGACACTTTTATCCCTGCCTTGTTAAGAATTCTGCATAAGGTTTCCGATGTTCCTTCCTTGTGTGGAATTACTACTGATGATTTAGATTCCGTATTGTTGGTATCGTCATTAATATCATTATTATTATCATTTTTATTATTATCACTACTACTATTATCATCACTATCGTTTTATGTTCGGCTGGTCTGACAGTCGCGATAGTGATGATAATAATAATAATAATAATAATAATAATGATAACAAAATTAGTCGACTCAAGAGTCGTTTGAATTGATCATCCCATTGTTCGATTTGTTCCTTCTCCTTGTTAATCAGGTTCCCTTGAACAACTTTCATTGGTTTCAACGTCTGAGTTGATCTCTTCCTGGATAGCAAGCAGCCTGGTTTTCTGATATAATGTCTTGAGGTCTCTTTTGCCTGCAGGCTGCCTTCCTGCCTGTTCTATTTTAGTTGCCACCAGCAAGTGTGTCGTAGAATTGTCTTTTTCTGTCTTAGCACTCTTCTTCACCTCTTTATTCAGCTTCTCGTTCTGTTGCCCATCTCTGCATTGAGTCATCTTCTCTTTCGACATCCTCCTCTCCTCACTTCTATCATCTTCAAGGTGGGTGGCCGTCGACAGCCATTCCTTGTCTTGTCTTTTCTTTCTTCCTAGAACACTTGTGCACGTTTCCTTGAAAACCACCTTCAGACTGTTAGTTAGTTCCAACGTTCTTCCACACAGGTTTCCCATTGATGCTACGTGGCGTCTCCGAATTTGCTCTCATCTGATTTGATCTGATCTGTAGTGAAGGCACTTCTTGTAGTTCTTTCCTTCAGTTTCTGAATGTTGAGTTTGAATTGTGGTCTGTCTCTAGTTGTTTTGACTGATTTTAGATTCACCTTGAAGGATCCTTGAACTACGTGATGTTTTGAGCCCATCCACATCTCTCCTCCTCGAATTTGTGTTTGGCAGAGTGGCTGCATCTCCTCTTCCTTGAGTGACGTTGAAATGAAGCCTGTCTGATTTGTGGTGTGTCCATCAGGCGAAATCCATGTTGCCTCGTGTATATCCTTTTTTTTACACACTGCCTCCGATCCCAAAATCGTCGAAGGAGCAGAGGTCTGAGAATAATTCTCCGTTCTCATTCATTTCTCCGAGCGATAGCCTCTCGGCCAATCATGAGTTCTCCTCCGTTCCGTTGTCCGTTCCTAGTTTGGCTTGCATTCATGTGGTCGATAAGTATTTTGATGTCGCCGCTTGGGATGTTGCCGGTTACTGTGTGCAGTTCTTGTAAAAATGCTCCTTCGCGTCTTGTTCCGCGTTGTTTTTAGATGCTTAGCATTAGATAATTGTGACCTTCTTTTGAGTTCATTCTTGCTGTTATGATCCTGCAAGATGAAATTGGTTCCTTTTGCATTAGGGCTTTGGCTGCCACTGATGACATCATTATAGCCAATTGATGCCTTCGCGTGCTCTTAGTTGTCGTGTGGGTGACTAGACAGGAGTAGATTACTGACTCTCCAGTTGACAATTTTTGACAGTCTACTTCCATTCCATTTGCTCTCGCAAATACCCAGTACTTCCAAGACGTATCTTCGTATTTCTTTGGCTACCTTGGAAGCCTTCCTAACCAGCCTCGTACATTGTACGAACATTCCACCTCTTAATTCTTTCTTTCGCTTTCATCAGGTGAATACGCATTGGCTGGCCTACTGGCTCCATGAAGGCTTTCACCATTTCTCTGTGTCATTTTGCCTCCCCGATTCCAAAGAAGAATAAGACTGCTGTTATTTGAAGTTTTTGTATTTTTAGTATATCTTCTGTACACTGAAGTTTCCACAGCAGTTGATAGGCTTAATGGTATGAGGGCGCTAGTCACACATCCATTCTCCTTTCTTTATCCGGTCTGGAAACCGGCTAGAAAACTAGCAATCTAGTAAATTAGGCGAGGTCATTGGCATTAAATACCGAAGGTAAACATTCATGACGAAAGTTATATAAAGTTCAACTGCTTTGTGTTTTTTCTTAATCTGGTTGGCTATAGGCTAAATATAAAAACAACTCTTAAACATGTGATTTAAGGGCGTTTCACTGCAGACAGATTCATAAATAAGGTATGAATTTTATTGTCTAAACAATGAAAAGAAGGAATACAAAGTATTCTGATTCGGCTTCTTGTTGTTCTGTGATTATATATGTATATATATGTCACATTAAAAAGTTTAATTATAATTTAGCGCATCCAAAATTCTACAATAATGATGACTTTATTCCGAACAGAATTCTGAGCACGAATATGTGAAAAATTTTATTCATGTGTATAGTTTCTTGAAGTTGACCTAACGCGAATAGCATAAAAGTAGATATTCTTATTCGAAAATTAGAATTTGTTAATTTTATCTTGTTTCTTGTTTAGTTAAGACAGTCGGAAAATGCTGGCATAATATGATTTGCCTAAATTTAAATGCATTTAAGTTACACTCAAACTTTTAATTGCTGATAACTACATTCATCTAAGTTAATAATCATTGTAAGTACATTCAGGAGAACGCAAATATATTTCCAACTTTCTAATTTTTTGTTTGTATCACACACCTTTTTTCTTTTTAGGTGAATGGAATCAACGTGACTACCATGTCACACGAAGCTGTTGTTGCACTTATCCGTGGATCCAGTGATATTTTAGGACTGAAGGTAATAACTGTAGATGCGGAGCAGATCAACACAACGCCTACACTGGAACACCAGTCATTAAATGGTAACTATCTTTTTTGCAGTTTGACTTATCCTCAGAAGATCAGATATGGGAATACTTTATTCTCTTAATGTCTTGAATAAAAAACATTATTTTTACTACTACTGAATAAACTGACGTCAATTATCATGAGACAGAACACAAAGGGTTTGAATTGTTCTGTCATTAAGTAAGACTTAAAAGTAGCTCAGTATTTAGCATTGTATGTCACTGCATAAAAGAAATGAAATGACCAGTTTCCAAAAGTGATTATCAGTTAAATTCTGTGTATTTCTGGAACTACTGACATTTCTACAATTATTTTAGGTGGAACAGGAAGGTTGGAAGATGATTCAGTCATAAATAAGAGGCTACTTGAATATCAGAGATTGTACATTCGACTTGCTTTACTTATTTTGTAAACGAAATATACTTCATCATAAATGGTTGTATATATGTTATAAGGTGAAATGAAACGACTCATGAAGAAGATTGTTATTATCTCTAATTTCGGGGAAATGCATCTAGCAAAATTCCATTATTTAATTATACTCAACTTTAGTGCTCAAGTTTTATTACAATGCTATCCATATAAAACTATTTTTCCCACAGGTAACCGATTTTGTGAATCCTCAGACAATCTTTATAATTCAAAAACCAGGAAACACAACTACGAGCATACTTTTTCAAATGATTGTAGCAATTCACCTGAAACAAACTGGTCCATAAATATTGATAATAACTGTAGAACTATTTGCAGAGATTCATTTCATAAAACGGAGAACTGCTCCACAAGACAGTCAAACAAGTTAGGGAACAAGCCTCTGTTGAATGGCTTTGTCTCAACAAATAAGCTCACTACTATTCGAAGAAATACTGAGTATACTGACAGAAATGAAGTGTCTAATCTGAAATCTTCGCAAATATCACTGGCTTCATATAAAACACCCGTCCCTCCACCACTTGCCAGTAAACCAACACTGAACTGTGGTACTTTAACTAAAATTGGACAGCAAAACAATGTCAAGACTATGGAAAGAAAAGAAGTGAACATGTCAATTAGTTCCAATGTAAGTGTACTTATATAAGTAGGATCAGTGTATTGTGTAAGGGTAAGAATTTTTCATAAAACTTATTTACATTCATTTAAGTTTGTTCAAGCTTTTACTCAACTGATTTTAATATGAAAGGACCTATTTTAGCGTAGTCAGTGAAAACCTCACGCTGAAGCCAATCTTATCCACTGGCAACGGTTGTATAAACGAAAAGATGAGCTGAATTGACCGTACAACAACACTGGAATAATGAGGACTGTATCTTAATCAGATTGCAGAGAAGTGAAAATTTGTAGTGCTTCGTAAATATAATTAAGTAAATATTAGTGGATTTACCATTAAACATCATTATATTTTCACAGCAAATACAAGATCTTTAGGTTTTAAGTAATATTATGAAAGGCAGGCACCATTTAGGAAATTCATTTCTGATGTGCAGTACTAAACACATCATTACAAAATATGTAATTCCTTCAAGAAAAAATACCATGATACAGCTTTTCTTGCTTATCTTTGCAATATACTCTGTTGGTTTTTCCTTTTATTTGTACAATGAACATTAAACACATAAGTCCTTTGCGTCTGTCTGTCTGTCTGGATTCAACATAGAACTTGCCACCGAAGTGCGGCACTTCGAGTTGCCACGTTCCAAATAGCACACAAAGGTAGACAAGAAGATGAGTGAAGAGAATCAATAGAGTTTGACAAGTATATGAGGGAAACAGAATGGGTAATGGTAGAAAGGAATATGAAAGATTACAGAGACTGAATACATCTGCGCTGGCCATTGACAAAGATTTTGAGCCATATCACCTATTGTCTCCAGCCATTGATTCCTAGAGTCCTGAGGGCCCAAACCCGGGAGTCTGCATCTCCTTACCTGACTCAGTTTAACTGTCAAGGATTTCATGGATTGATGAGGCCATGTTTTTGTTTGGCCACCACTGGCTCTTTTCCAACCTGCACCTATATCAGCTAGTAATGCCCGTCGGGGGAGGCGATGGTTAGACATGCGCAGCATGTGACCTAGCCATCTCAATCTATATAAGTTTATAGCCTCGTCGATTGATTTTCCCTCTTTGCCCAACACTCTACGCCTAACTTCAACATAACTTACCTTGTTAAACCACCTAACGTGAGAAATAGGTCGTAGACATCTATGATCAAAAACAGTCATCCTTTTCATGTCTTCAACTCGTATTGGCCATGTTTCAGAGCCATAGAGAAGGACGGAGTGAACGGCTGAGCAGTACACACGTCCCTTGGTTGATAGCCAGATGTCACGCCTTCGCCGTAGATGGTGTAAGTCAGCGAAAGCAGCCCGAGCTTTTTGGATCCTTGCTGAGATTTCGTCGCCAATCAGTCCGTTGGTGCTGATACAACTTCTCAAATAGGTGAAGTGGTCAACATGTTCTATCACTTCACTCCCTATCACTAAGCTAGTAGTTGACGTAGTCCAGTCCTGTAGCAGTATCTTACATTTTACAAGGGCGTCTAGCAGGCAGGCAAACACGATAGTCAATGATTTCACAAACCAATTTTGCAGATTTTCTCGTATGTTCTTTATGCCGGAAAGACGATAAGCTTTTTTCATAGGTAGTTGAATATTTTCACTTGAGAGTAACTGATAAAATCGTGAAATAAAATTATGCAAAAATTTAATACATTTTGCCTATCCACTGTCAAAGGACCGGTTAGTTAGTGAACCATAATTTATAAATCTTGAGATCAAATATATGCTCATTATTATCTATAGAATAGCTTTCATGCATAGCCTATTTATGATCGACTGTTCATTCCTAGTGTACTAGCTCTTCTGATAATATGAAATACTTTTCTTTTTTAGGAAAACTCCGGTTATAATGGAAGGAATTGTGAATCTGTAAATGGTTTTCAAAACACGCCTATTCATCCACCTCCACCATTGTTGCCTACAGTTTCCTCGAGTGTTTCCACTTCAATTCCACCACCTCCACCAATTTTCACTCCTGCCATAAAAAGTACACCAACAATAAAACCTGAAATTCCTACAGGAATTTTGAAAAAAAGTTCATCCGCTTTAAACGAATTGACAGAAGTATCGAAGCTTTCAAAAAATTCACCGGATAACCGAAGTCAAGATGACTGGTCAGATCAACTTTCACTTCCACCTCCACCGCCTCCGGATGAATTTGAGTTAAATACAACTGAGAAGGAAATACAGCCACAGTGTGTTAAAAATAATTACAATAATGGCCAAGAAACTTGCAAAATACAGTCGTCTCCGAAGGCAAGTAAACTTTCATCTTTTGAGGATAATTTGAGAAAGGCAGTTGCTCAGCGTCGTCGCATGATAGAAATGGCTTCAGAAGACGAAGAACAAGACTTTGAGCCCATGCATTACAAAAGCTGTCAAAGTACATTGTACACTGAAAGTACAATCAAAACTACAAAACAGCAAGATGATTCACCTCCACAAAATGAAAACTCGTTTAAATTAGCTGCAGAAAAATTCCACCAAAAGGCATTATCACGTAATTTACCGTCAAATGGTACTATTCCACCTCCTGAAAAATTTAAAGATTCTAACAAGATTTTCAGCAAGTTTGATGGTAACACAGAAGCTAAAATAGGAAATAAACCAGTGTTACCACAGTGGCAGTCTTCCTTGATGAGAAATTCAAACAAAACGCAATATTCAGTAAATGCTGAAGAAAAAATCTCTAATGGTGTTAAAGCAAGTGATTCGTATTTATCAATAAAAAGTTTCCAAAATAACGGTACTAGCGATAATAATGATAATACACGTTCAGATGTTATGCTTAAAGAAGTGACAACATTTAAACAGAACACAACTTCTCATCCTACAAAGGTGATGGGAAATAATACAGCTCCTCCACCACCACCACCACCCCCACCGCTGCTTTTTGTCGACACCCAAAAGTAATGTGGTCTACCAGAAAAAATGATTCAGTGAAATCTCTTGTACGATGACAATACTATCATTACACATGAACTAATTTTTCAACCGATAGGACATATCAATCACTTCCCTTCTGATTAAAGCATTATCTAATCCAATTGAAATTACTCCCCAGATTCTGTTCCCATAAATATATTATCATGTTATTACTTCTCAGAAAATTTCAAGGCGAAGCTGACTTATTTATTACTTGCAATTCAATAAAAGAAAAACACAATGAGAATATCTGCTGTATCATGAAAATTTCACTTTTACTAATGAAATACAATAAATTTGGCAATCAATACTTTCTCTGTGTGTACATACAACACATATATAGGCATGTAGTTAAAGGCAACAAGCAGTCTAACGAGTTTGATTAATTCATGCAAGAATGTAGGTTTCATTATATATACATCAACGCAGTCATTTATATTTGTGATGAAGATTGTCTTTTTACAATGATTTGTTCATTTTTCACGTCCTTTTTTTACATATATATATATTTTGTAGAATTGGGAAACATTTCTATTTAGACATAGTTCAGAAATCTTGATTACTGAAGTATGTCTGTTGTTTCTATCCCATGTGTCTTTTGTTACATAGTTCTTTTCTGTGAATTAGTTGATTATTTCAGCCATTTATGAAAAGTCATAAATGAAGTGACAAACAAAGTCTTTTTCTTTGAGAGACAGTGTATGTTATGTGAATAAGTCTCTCATTTTCAATGAGTACTATAGGCACGAATATTTCTTAACTGACCCAACATGAACATCCTTTATACTTTTAAGTTGAAAAATTTATATAATAAAAATAATCGTAATAAATCACTTTGTCTTTCTTTTAATGTTTTCCTGGTTGATGTATTTTGACTTTGGTCGGTTCATTCTAATGAGTAAGTTTTAGCTCGAAAACCGCCAGGATACTTTGCTGTTTGATTTCCCAGAGGAACAGATACTTAGCACTTTAACTTCCCTGAGGATGAAATGACCATGTCTAAACGAATTCCTAATGGAATCTGGTAGAGACAGATTCGACTTGTGGTGAACCAGAGGGAGTAAGTAATGCCAATAAATTGAGACTGTATGACAGGTGTGCTAATCAAACAATACTTTACAACTCTTAGGTATCATAAGTTATCAGAATATGCACTGTAGTCAAAAATCCCCAAATTTAAGCAGTTTAGTAACGAGAACCAGATAACATGTGTGCTGATGGTTCCTCACTGGATGTTGATTTGGCTGTTGAGACTTACTGGAATGATGTTAGGCATCAATTTTAGAATTCTCCAAAAGGTAAACAAATATTTGAAGGTCAGTATAACAGCCAAAATGAACCAAAATACAACCTCAATAATCATGCGTAGACTAAGTGGTGCTTGAAAGGCACAAACACGAGAGAGCCAGGCAGGCTTTAGACCAGGAAGAGGGTGTATTGATCATATCTTCACCCTCCGACAGATTTTAGAACATAGTCATTCCTAACGGCGACTAACAATCATTATATTTCTTGCCCTAAAGGCGGAATTCGATTCTGTCGACCGAGAGGTCCTCTGGAGATGCTTGGCTGTAAAGGGAATGCCGAGAAAATATATTGCACTGATTAAGGCACTCTACTCGTAATCATGCAGCCAGGTGAGGGCTTACGGCGAGTTGTCATCTGAAATGGTGACGACTAGTGGTGTCCGTCAAGGATGCCCATTATCCCCATTTCTATTCAATTTCATCATACATGTACTGATGGACTTAACCCTAACTCACTTCAGTGACTCAGGAATTGACTTGCTACCAGGGAATAATCTCGTTGACTTAGAATATGCAGACGATATAAACCTTCTAGGTGAGGACGCCGACAAAATGCAGAGTCTTCTAAACATCTTGAGCCGCAATCTACGAATTTTTGGCATGCGATTCGCTCCCGCCACATATAAGGTGATGCTACAGGACTGGACTAAACTGCCTCCGAGTTTAGAAATAGGGAGTGAAGTGGTAGGGCACGTTGACCTCACTTATTTGGGAAGTACCATCAGCCCCAACGGGTTGATCTCTGACGAAATCCCAGCACGAATACAGAGGGCTAGTTTCGCATTTGCCAGTTTACACCGTCTCTGGCGTAGACGTGATATGCGACGATTGACCGAAGGGCGTGTGTACTGCTCATCAGTCCGCTCCGTCCTTCTTTATGGTTGTGAGACCTGGTCATTGAGAGTGTAAGACATGAAAAGATTAGCTGTCTTTGATCACAGGTGCCTGCGTTCTATCTCCCGTGTGAAGTGGTATAATAAGGTGAGCAATATTGAGGTTAGGCTTCGGTCGAGTTCTAGGTAAGGAGGGGAAATCAATCGACGAGGCTGTGAAATTACACCGACTGAGATGGTTAGGACATGTGCTACGTATGTCTAGTCATCGCCTTCCTCGACAATGGGCAATGTTAGCTGATATAGGGTCAGGCTGGAAAAAAGCTAGCGGCGGTCAAACAAAAACTTGGTACCAGTCAATCAAATCCACAACATTTAGTTTAACCCAGTCACGTAGGATGATGTAGACTTCCTGGTTGAGGTCCTCAGGATGGTAAAAAACCGATAACTGAAGATAATTGTTGATATGGCTCAAGATTATTTTCAATGGAGTGGATGCATCCACTCCTTGTGGCTTATGATTTTCAATGAAACTGTTTTGTTCTTCGTTACTAATATTCCTTTTTCTCACACCTCTGTTTACTGCTCTATTATGCATTTCTTCTAATTTCTTCTTTTGCTTTGTGTGCTACATGGTGTGTGGCGACGTGAACTGTCGCACATATGTGCAAAGTTCTACGTCGAAAACAGACAGACAGAATACAGAATATAGGCAAACATGCATACATAGCATGCTAACCACGTCAGATATTGTATTGGTCGGAAAATGCACTTATCAGGTGAATACAGATTTAGTTTTAATAAAGGATAAGCAAAATGTCCTGACAGAAAGGAATTTATTTTTATCTTTAAAAATGATACAAAATTGTTATTTCATTTGATGTTGACTAACAGCAGAATCCGGGATACGTATTTCGCCATCCTGTTGGGAGCTCGTCTTGTGGATGTACTAGCATTTCTAGTGAGTGGTGGTGTTCCTACTGAGACTGCAACTCTGCACCTATCTCTGAAAACTGCTGAAGCACTATATATGCGAGAATCATCTTTTGTGCAACAGGTGCCAATAATTTTTTGCTTTTAGCCTAATATGTATTTATCGTTGACTGACTATACTGGACCACCAACCAAAATGACTACACTTCAATCCTTAGACATCACCGAAGCGTACGTATCAGCAGCCGAACTGTCAATATAACCAATCAACGGAAAATACAAATTAACGCATAAAAAACAGATAATATGCAGAAATGTACTCACCTTCTCCACGGACCTAAAATTTATTTAATGCTGATAATTACTGAAACTACCACAAACAAGGCCTCTTGTCACTTAAGGTAGTCAGTAGCTCTTCAACCGATTAAAACTCATAATGCAAAGGCTACCTGTGAAAGGCACTCCCTTTCCTACAAGTTAATTTGTCATCCGAATAATGTGTATGACAAGCGAAGATAGTTAACAGTAGTGAATCAAGATAAATAGCTTCTGTTTTAATTTTTCGTACAGAATAGCGATATCTATAGGAATTTAGCCTTATAATGCGTTGTTGGTTTAAAATTTTGTTCTACAAGATCCTCACTTCTTTTGAAGTCAGTATAAAAGTATGCTTACGAATTACAATGACTCAGAAGAATCATCTTTGTAAAACCGCTTAGTTAATGATCCTACAGGTAATTTATTACAGTTAACCATGTGGTTTCTGACTGGTAGTACGCATATAGACTAAAACACATAACTGGCGTAATATAAGCTATAAACCGGGATTAATTACCTAAGAGATTCACAGTGGCTTGAAAGTTTTTGATTGAGTTATTTTCGATTTAATCAGTGAATTCAACAGTTATGTAATTTAAAGGTGATATTATTGATATTCTATATAGTGACTGTAGATTTTTTCTGAGAAATCCGTAGAGATGATTGTATTAGATTAGTTAACCAGACGTCTGAGTTACGTGTAAAATTCGAAAGCACAGGATTGTCTTAGGTAGAGTATACAACACGACCTATAATGAATGAATATAATATACCAACCTCAAATTGTGAAGCGCCTAAGGCCATATGCCATCAAATACACTGTCACTTTATGTCAATATAAATGAATAGTAAAGCTGTGCCAATAGCGACCCAGGGTCAATTAAACAGCTCACAAATGTCCGGATAAAAATTAAAGGGATTAAAAATAAACGGTTTTTACTAGTTTGATCATAGATTCATATCACTTAGTGAACCACTGAAAACCAGGGAGTACTGGACTAGCTACACAGCGGAGTTTCCTGGATTTCTAGTGAGAAGTCGTGACCAGTGAGGTCCATCCAGTCAAGTGTGAGGATGAATGTCCCACAGACGATATGGGCTGTGTGGTCACGCTAAATCACGAACTGGTAGAAGTTAGAATTTATGCACTGGCCATTGAATCGTGTTCCAGTGGGTGAATAGTATATGAGCTTGCCATGTAGTCGGAAAGTCCTGAGTTTGAACCCTGGCGGTGGGTGCGTGCTGCCAATGACTCCTAACCTAGGATGAAATAGTTTTCAATGGTTCTCTGACTGATATCATTCCGTGGTCAAACTCGTAAAAACAAATCTAATCCTTACAAACCGACTCTTGAAAAATAAACTGTTCAACAGAGAGTGGAATACGAATACGACAGATACTTTTTACCTATAAGAAGATAATTATTGTAGATCAAATAGGATATTAATACATCATATGAGATAAACCTCTATAGCAGACAACAGTTATGCGTACAGAGTAGCAGGGTGACGCGGTACATGAGTTCCTTCAAGGTTGCAGATCCGCCTTGCTGACTGGTGAGTACCAATTAGCACGAAACCTAAGTCCAAGGCTTTCT